CCACAATCCTCAGATCTCAGTCTCCTAAATAACTCTGATTACAAGCATAAGCCACCAATGCTACTCTAAGGTTGCCTGTAGCTCTATCTTCTCTTTTTCCTGCATGAAGAAGAGAATAGAAACTTCTGGAATTCACTGGGTTATTGGCTACTCCTCTTTTTCTGATGCCCCCTGTCATGTAAGTAAATCTGTAGCTTTCTCTCCTGTTAACCTGTCAATTGCCCGTTTATTCTAGCAGACCTAAAATCTCAAAACCTTCAGGAGAGAATGTTGAGATTACCTCTGCCCCCTACACCCTTCCCTTCTCAGCTCACGAAAGCAGTTTTTAATACCTCAACCTTTTTTTATTTTTTCCTGTGGATGAGACCCATGAGCTTTTCCCATAAGATACCCAAAGGTTACTTCAGGGTAGACTTCCACCCTATACCTGTCTCAAGTGGCCTTTTCTGACAATTACTTGTTCTTATCACCAGTTTATTTCCTTGTGAGCTCTCATCCCTCACTGTTTATTGAGACTCTGTGTCTACCTTCTTTCCCACCTCCAGCCCAAAAGGAAACAAGGGATTGGCTGTGTCTCATCTCTCACCAGATCAGGGACCTCGCACAGAGCAGGAGTTCAGGGAATTTGCTGCATGAATGAAGTATTAATTGGGTGTGTGTGCAGGAAGGTGATTGGTATTGTGGCTAGAAAGGGGAAAAACTATTTTTCTGCCTCCTGCCTCACTGATTGACTGTCACCATAGAGTATGAATTTCAGTAGGAATATCTGTTGTGATAGAAGGGTATCCAAGAAATCAAATCTGCTTCACTATTCCATGGTGGTTTTAGAAACCAAATTCATTCAAGTGGGCTATTTGTTCAAGTGCTTAAACTTATGGAGCGATTACCATTATTTTAAATATATTTGGGCTGAGAATGAGGCTTAGTGATAGAGTGCTTGCCTAGCATGCATGAAGCCCTGGGTTTGATTCCTCAGTACCACATACACAGAACAAGCCAGAAGTGGTGCTGTGGCTTAAGTGATAGAATGCTAGCCTTGAGCAAAAGAAGCTCAGGGACAGTGCCCAGGTCCAGAGTTCAAGCCCCAGGACTGGCAAAAGTAAAAATAAATAAATTCACATTAAACATGAAGATTTGAGGGCTTATCATCTTTAATGAAAGGATAGGTTCATTAAACAACCACAGATTTTGTTTATTTGGTCAAGGATTCCATGACCAAGAATCTTTGGTTCAGTCACAGGCAACGTTATCAACAGAACAATCTAGATACTTCATACATCACAAAATAGTTGCAGGACTTAGCAGATCCTAGAAAGAAAATTTTTATAAGGAATTCTTGATAAATGTCTTTGAAATAACCTTGTTATTTTTTACTATTAACGTCTGGTATTAAAACATCCAGAGTAAGTGACTTGGAGCCTCCATTGAGAATTTGGATCTTCATATTCTTTTTGCGTATGTGGGCCAGTACTGGGGCTTGAACTCAGGTCCTGGGTGCTGTCCCTGAGCTCTTTTGCTCAAGTCTAGCAATCTACCACTTGAGCCATTGCTTCACTTCTTGGGTTTTGTGATTCATTGGAGAGGAGTCTTACTGACTTTCCTGCCTGGTCTGTCTTTGAACTTCAATCCTCAGATCTTAGCCTTCTGAGTAGCTAGAATTATGGGCACGAGTCACCGGCACCCTGCATATCTTCCTGTTCTTTAAGGACATAAACTAATCTATGATTTCAGTGGAATTTTAAATTTAGGGTTTTTTTTTACTTTGAGGGGAGTGTGTGTGTGCACACGCATGTGCATGCACAGGTCCTGGGGCTTGAACTCAGGGTCTGGGCATTTGTCTCTGAGCTTTCTTACTCAAAGTTAGCATTCTACTACTTGAGCCACAGCTCCACTTCTGTTTTTTTGGTAGCTAGTTGGAGATAAGAGTCTCACAAACTTTCTTGCCCAGTTTGGCTTTAAACTGAGATCCTCAGCTCTCCCCCCTCCTGAGTAGCTAGGATTACAGGCATGAGCCTCCAGTACCCAGCTAGGGACTCTTTAAATAAGCAAGTCAGTGTCTGTAATGGAACTATACTTGGTCATCATGATATGCATAATAGCTCTCCAGCTTGTTGAAATCCCCAAAGCTTGGTTTGACGCCCTTTAAGATAGTGTGTCCTGGCTCCCCATTGTGGGACCTGAATCCAGTTCTGTTATATTACAAGTATTCCGTTTTCCAAGTTGCCCAGATGTGCCTCCCAGAACACAAGAACCTCTGTCCTCATTCACCTACTAGTCTCATTAGGCTCTGAGCTCATGTTATGTAAAGAGGCATGCTTGCGTTTTTCTTTACATATAACTCTTATCTGATTGGATTTTCAGGAAATGAATTACACTGGTATATAGCCAGCCAGTACTCAAATCAAGAATGACCATAATCACAGACCATGAAACCTGTGGTGCCACACTCTCTAGTTTCTGAAGCTCCAGTGGGGAAGATTCTTAACCAGAAATCTCAAGCTGGTTGTAGAAAAGAAAACACTGAGAGATGTTAATAGCAAATTAATATCAAGTTAATATCAGTGAAGGTTGGGTTCCTGTGTCCAAGTTCAAACCAAAGATGTAAATTCTGTGCACTGAACATGAACATCCTGTGATTATTTACAATAACCAGAATTAATTTTGCAGCACACACTTGCTTGTACATTTTGGCCTCTGCTGTTGTACCAGCCATAGCTCGATTTTCAGCCATAGGAAATTTTTTTTAATTGCTCAATAAAATGAGACGACACAGCCTTAAGCTCTCACTCATTCTTCAGAGAGCTAGGAATCATTAATTTCCCACAAATTGAAGGAAGATTCCAATTTACTCATTGTCTCTATCGCCATTCATACTTTTGGATGTTAGGAAATCTGAGCTGGATCTAGAGCCCATGGCCCTTTCTGTCAACAAATAATGTTTCTTTGATTGCAATTATCCATAAATGGGACAAAAAATAAAAGCAGTGAATACTTACTCTGTTCCTGTGCGGTCTTTTTCTCTTTTGCCAGAGTTGCCTACTTTCTCTGAGATGGTTCAGTGACCAAAGTCATACTTGCCAGTGCTAAACTCTGCAGAGAGAAATGAAGTCCAACCACTAGAATAAGATGAAGGTAAAAATGAGAGACCTCACCATTTGTGATCAGGCTTCCTGATCACAGAGGACAATGATCCTATTCTAACTGTCCTGTGACTGATAATAGGAAGGAGGAGCCACAGTGGCTCTCCTGTTTCAGAAGACTATAAACAAAATGAAATTCTCATTATCAAATAGCTGGAAAGTTATTTGTTAGACCATTTCTTTTGACAGATGAAGATATTAGAGCCCAGGAGGGTGTTCAAAGAAAGTCATGTAGCACACTGGTGACTTCTCCAGGACTCTCCAATTTCCCCTTCCCTCCCCTCCCCTTCTTTCCTACCTTCCCTCCCTCCCAACTCTCCTTCCTCCCCACTCTTTCTACCCTTCTCCCCTCCCTCCCTTCTTTCCTTCCTCCTCTTCTCCCTTCCCATTTCCTTGTTTTGAGGTAAAGTCTTACTGTTTAGCCCATGTTCACCTGAAACTCATGATCTTTCTGCCTCTTTTCCTTCCATCTTTACATACTGCTAAGTGACCTGAGATTTGAAAATCTCTAGGAAATACTGCAGTGGTGATACAGACTGACTGTGTCCCCTCAGATTCATATGCTGAAACCCAATGTGAGAATATTTGGAGGTGGGCTTTTGAGAGGTGATTAGGTAATGAAGATAGTCGCTTACAAATGGAATTCATACCTATGGAAGAGACCCTACAAAGTTCAATTGCTCCTACCAACGTGAGGTTACAATGAAAAGGAGCAATCTATGGGACAGTGAACAGGCCATCATTAAACACTGAGTCTGTTAGTATCTGGAGTTGGGACTTCTGTGCCTCCAGAACTGTGGGAAATAATTTCTTATAAGACACTCAATTTATAGTGCTTTGTTATAGCAGCTTAAATGAGCCAAGGTAAGTGCTTAATCCTTTTTTCCTAAGGAAAAGAAAAATCTGAGAATGTACCCTACTTAGACATCCTAGTGTATATTACACACATATCTTTTTAAATTTTTTATATGCCAGTCTCAGGATCTGAGCTCTGCCCCTGAACTTTTTTTGCTAACTTAAGCACTCTACTATTTGAGCCACAGCTTCATTTCTGGCTTTTTTGGGGTAGCTAATTGGAGATAGAGTCTCACACGCTTTACTTCCCTGGGCTGGTTTTGAACCCTGATCTCCAGATCAGTAGTCAGGATTACAGGCATGATTTAAATTTATAATTTTTTTTCTTTTGGTCGGCCGTGGGGCTTGAACTCTGGGCCTGGGGGCTGTCCCTCAGCTCTTCAGCTCAAGGCTAGCGCTCTACCACTTGAGCCACTGAGCCACTCCCGGTGGTTGATTGGAAATAAGAGTTTCACAGCCTTTTCTGCCCGGGCTGGCTTTGAACCAGGATCCTCAGATCTCAGCTTCCTGAGTAGCTAGGATTACAGGCGTGAGCCAAAGGCGCCCGGCTTCAATGGAAAAAAATTTTTATGTTACTAAGATACAGCAAATACAAAGTATTCACATAAGATTGGCCAAGTCTCCCAATGATGAGAGATTCCTTTGCTACTGTCTAGTATGATCAGTTTCTCCCCAAAGTGTACTCTCTGAAGCTATCCACGAGTTCACTGCCTTGCCCCCAATGCAGTGTTGAAACAGGTACAGCAAGGTCAGGTCTCCCCGCCTGATCTCTGCGTTGGAGCGCACGGTCTTTGACTTTCGTTCGGCGCGATCGCAGCTAAATTTCCTTCCTCTGAGCGCAGAACAGGGCGCCACGACCCCCACGTGGGCCCCACGGACCCAGCAAATCCTCCTCCCAGCCCGGGAGCGGTGGGCGGGGCCGACCTCGAACCCCCGCCCCTCTCGGTGACGTCACGGCCCGCGGAGGCTCCGCCCCCAGAGGTCGCTCGCCGCGGGGTGCCCGCGCCGCCTCCACCGCCGCTGCTGGCTTCCTCGTCGGGCTCCGCCGCCGCCGCCGGCTCGGTCCTCGCCACACCATGGCTTTCGTCACCAGGCAGTTCGTGCGCTCCGTCTCCTCCTCGTCTTCCGCGTCGGCCTCGGTGAAGAAGATCATGGTCAAGCACGTGACGGTCATCGGCGGCGGGCTGATGGGCGCCGGCATCGCGCAGGTGAGCGCGGCCCGGGGCGGCAGGCCGGGTGCAGGACCCGGATGCCCGCGGGGACGGGGGGCGCTGCGGCCCGCGGCGGGGGCGGGGGGGGGAGGCGTCGGCCGGGCCTTCACCCCCCCCCCACCCCGCCCCGAAGGGTCGAAATACCTTGCACAGCCTCCTCCCCACCCTCAAAGTGCGGGGTCCTCCACCCGGTCCGGCTTTTCTCCATGTCTGAAGTTCCAGCCGCGCCCGGGGCCCGAGGGCGGGCCGGGGGGGGGGGGGGGGGAACGGCGTCCGGGGGGGGGGGGGACGGCGTCCGGGGGGCCCGCCGCGCACCACGTGGAGGCGGGTCGTGTGGCTCCTGCCCGGTGCAAGCCTCTGTCCCTCTGTCCCTCTATCCCTCTGTCTCTCTGTCCAACCGTCCGACCTCCCCCCCCCCCCTAATTCTATAGTCGTAAGTCGTTGTCAGTAGAGTAAAGGCCGTCATCACTGTTGTCAGACTTTTAAAAGTCACCTACACGGAGCCCGCTTAGTCCCTGGCCCTCTGCCCAGGGCGGCTGGAGGCGACTTTGCCCTTTGACCCAGTACCCCGGGTGCCAGCAATCCTGCCGTCCCCGACCTCGGAGCCCGCGTGGGAGGAGGAGGATCAAGCCGCCCCGGGGCCGCTGTAGAAATCTGTCCTCTTGCAGCTCGAGAACCCTGCCCCGTGCCAACTGAGCTAGGGGTCAGGGACAGTTGTGCATTTGATCACTGCACATGCGGCGTGTTGAGCGCTGTAGTCTGTGGATTGTTCTTAGGTTGCACTCTTGCTCGGGTTGGAGAACCACGGTATGGCTTTGTTTTTGGGGGGTGGGGAGGTAGTCCTGGGGCTTGAACTCAGGGCCTGGGCGCTGCCCCTGATCTCTTTTGCTCAAGGCTAGCGTTCTGCCACTTGAGTCACAGTGCCACTTTTGTTTGTTTGTTTGTTTTCTGAGTAATTTCTTGGCTATAAAGAGTCTCAGGGACTTTCCCGTCCGGGCTGGCTTGGGACCATGGTCTTCAGATCTCAGCCTCCTGAATAGCTAGGAATACAAGCATGAGCCACCAGAGCCATGTTTTTGTTTTTATATCCTAGCTGATTATACTCTTAGCTCTTTGGAACTAGATTCCTCCCTCCCTCCCCCACCCTTTCTTTCTTTTTGGAGGAGGATGTGGGACAGTTCTCTTCACCTAAATTTTCCCAAGTGGGCCTGGGAATGGGTCTTACCCTCAGGACAGTAGCTATAGTCGTGAAAGTTTTGTGCATTTTTTATCTTTTTCAATCAAGTCCACATTCCCATGCTTGCTTTGAAAAAAACAACAACAATCTTTATTATTGTTATTGTATCTTAAATTTCACCTCCCACAATTTGTTTTGCAACATAGTAATTTGATTGCATTGTGTGTGTGAGTATGTGTGTGTGTGTGTGTGTGCATGCAGGTATGCACATGCATGCATGCATGCATGCCAGTACTGAACCTTGAACTCAGGGTCTGGTACTGTCCCTGAACGTTTTCACTCAAAGCTAGTGCTGTACTACTTGAGTTACAGCTCCACTTCTGGCTTTTTAGTGCTGAGAGTCTCTTGAGTCACTTTCCAGCCTGGGCTGGCTTCAAACTATATAATCCTCAGCTCTCAGCCTCCTGAATAGGTATGATTACAGATATGAGCCACCAGTACCTGGCTTAATTTGATTGATTTCATCCCCAAGTCGGTATTTCTGCAGTATTTTTCCTTGTAGCTTCTTACTGTGTCACAGCTCTTTTGCATTCACGCTTTTCTTTTTGACATTACCCTTTTCTGAGAAGGTCCCGCCTTCTGTTCTAGAGTCCTCATAAGCCATATTATAGGTGAGAGAGAAGGAGTAATAAGTACTTCAACATACAAGTTTTACACATATGGGAGTCTGTGTAGGAGTGCACCTGTGACCCTCTACCCCAACACTGTGCTTAGTATATGCTTGGCAGTGGTAAGAGCTGAGTGTCCTCTGCCTGTAATGATCAACATCTTCATTGTCGCTCTCCTCTCCTGTTGCCCTTTTGCCTCTTACCTGCTTTCTTACCTAGTCTTTGTTGCTGAAGTAAGTCCTTAATGTTTAGGTGTAAAGTATTGATCATCAGTGCCTGCTCTGTTTTTAGTAACTTTTACTGTAAATGTCAGCTGATATCAGTATATTTATTCAGAGTCCATTGAAAAGAGGAAGGATGTCTTTCATTGTATTAGTAAATAAGCCATGAAAGCACAGACAGGAATTAGCATCTAGCTTATTCAACGAATTCCCATTTAGCTTCATCTTCCTGGAGTCTTCTGAAGTAGTTTTAATCAGAAGGCAGTTCTGTGTACAATTTTCATTTATCATCTTCAACGTATGTTCCAGTTTGTTCTGGGCAAGATGAAAAAAAGTAAATAGATTTTTGTAGCTGCCAAATGCATTTTTCAAGCAATTAAGCAAATTTTGACAAGTGAGGGCTATAGTTAATTTTATGTGAACAGAGTTCAGGCTATTAGTACATGTGTACTTTTCAAAAGTATCTCCTTTGCCTGTTGTTTTCCTTTCTTTTTTTGAATTTTAAAATCCCTTAGGCTGCAGGTTAATATTTAAGTAAGTCCGCTTGTTTTATGTATTTGCCTATTATACACTTCTGGGTTGGTCTGATCGGTAGTTTATCTTCAGCAGGCTGTTAGAGTAGCTTTGTAGCATAAAATGAAATGAGTGGAGACAGATTGGTTTCTTTTTGGAGGGGAAAGGGTAGAAAAGGAAAAGAAAAATTTCTCAGAATGAATCATTTTCTAATCTTTGCTTTGTTCCTTGCTTTCTGTCAGCTGAGGAGTCCAGAAAGTTCAGGACTTTTATAAAATTATTACCAAGGAGCCAGGGTGGGGGGATAGCATTTAAGAGACTTTTTCGTACATTACTCTTGTTCAGGAAAGTGAGAAAGTTTGAACTTGTAGAGGTAAATTTGTCTCAACAAATCCTACAACCCTCCCCCCTCCCCTTTTAAAAAGCACATTTCTTTTGGGAAAGTGCATTTTAAGCTAAGTAGGGGCAGGGAAGCATTCTCAGCAATAGGTGAATATTTCCCAGACTTTGTGCCCCTGTATGATGTTCAGTAAAGAAGACACAGCAGTCTAAAAATTCCTCTTCCTTCACTGAATTTGTTCCCAGCTCATCTTGCTGTCATCAGCTTTGAAGTTTCTGATGCTGAATGAAAGAAAAATTGGAATTGCTTTGTGTTTTCTTTTCCTTTTGGTATTGGGCCTTAAACTAAAGGTCTGGGGTGCTCTACCACTTGAAGCCAGTTCCACTTCCAGCTTTTGGTGATTTAACTAGAGTTTCACAAACTTTCCTGCCCAGGCTGTCTTTGAACCATGATTCTCAGCCTTCTGAGTAGCTAAGATTATAGGTGTGAGACACCATTGCCTGGCTAGGAGGGGATATTTTTATTCCTAGGAATTCATTTCCTCCTAAAGGGCATGGGTGTTATCTGTTTTATCACCCTTTCATTTGATTTTGGTTTTTCTTTGCCGTGTTCTCCATCCAGCTTTACCTGTATCTGCTTCTTGCTGGAGGTTTTAATTTCCTTTCCTTTCTGTTAGGCACACACACTATTCTCTAGCCCTTCACCATCCCCATGTTGGGTTATGCTGATGATGCAGTAGTTCCTGGTGTGGGGTGGTCTGAGCTTGAAAGGCCAGGCTCTGTCGTTCCTGCCTGAGTGTAGATCTTAGCTTTCTTCTCCTGGTTGTAGGAACCTTGGGCAAGTCATTAATCACTTTCTGCCCGTCCCCATCTGGAAATAATCATACTTACTTCACTGTTGAAAGAGTTAAATGAGCTACTCTATGCTTAGAGTTGTCTTTGTGTGTTCAATAGTAACTGTTCAGTAAATCTTGGTTGCCTTTATATAGATCCATCAGTCTAATCCAATGATTATTTCATTTACTTAAATTTTCTGAAATGTTTCTGAAGAGATTTGGTACAAAAAGGTAGGGCATTCAAACCATTTTAGGAACATTCAAATTGACTTAGGGAATGATTGAGAAACTTAATACTAGTGCCCCATTAACTCGATTTGGGGTGTTGCCATGAGTTCACACCCATAAGATGTTTGGAACAGAGCCTCGCACTTAGACACTCTACAAATGTAAAATTTTATTTGGTCATAGCAGTTTAATATGACCGGATAATAACCCTTCCCTCAGAGATAGTACTTGTGGGCAAAGGTCAGAGGCAGAGCTGAGGTTTCTCTACTTCTACTGCCTGGGATTCCTGAAGCTGAGAAGCAAAGTTCTGCCTGCAACTATGGCACCTGCTGTCTTGTAGGGAGAAACAAAGGACCCTCCATCCTGTCTGAAGTCCATAGATTCTCCTCAGCTCTAGACTCAATTTGAGGGGCTGTTTACCCTCTCTCGGTGGATACTGTGCAGCCATCTTGGTCATCCTGGATTCACTCACCTCAAATCAATTACCTCATCATGTTCACTTTCTTTCCCCTCTAGATCTCCCCAGAGCTTCTTCCTTCAGTTACTGCTCTTCCAGCCATCAATATTCTGCAGGCTAGTTCACCATCAGTATCTCCTCTGTCCACTCCCCTGTCTCACCTATGATTCCTGGAGGTCTTGTTGCCCTGAATTTTCACGGGAACCTCATAGCAAAAACTTAGAAATAAACAAACAAAAGAAACCTCCCAGCACTGTAACATTGCCACATGAGCAGTTTAGATTTGCGACTCGTCTCTCCTTAAGGGATCCATCATGCAACATTTTGCAGTGTTTCTTAAATATAACTAAGACTTGGCTGTCACTATTGGCCTGTAAAATTTAGTTCTCCATTTTTCAAAATTTGTGGGAGGTGGGAAGCCTTGGAGAGAAGTTATTTCCCCTATATTACCAAAGCTGAATGTCTATTGAATTTTTTAAAAAACCTGTGTGTTTAACAGAATTACAGTCTAAGAATGGCAGTGTATTTTCTTGGCTTTATAGAAATACTTTTTGAAAT